TCAGCTTCACAAAAAAAAAAGTTGTGGTAAATACCTTTAAAGATTAATTTATGATTACTGGGCGTAATTTACGTTCAATTTTACCTAACAATCTCTTAGACTGTTACGTGATACTCTCTTAATCTTCAAACAGACGATTAAATTTCAGTATCTTTAGAAGATAAATATTAATTTCTAAATCCACAAACTACCGCAACCATAGCTCACCAATTACAAGTCACGGATGACATAATAAATTGCAAGCTTTTAATAATTTTGGCAGTTAAATTTCTTCTTTTCATGAGAAATTATGCTTAAGAGCATGTTTGCACAGCTTCCTATGGGAGGTTCCATTTCTTTGTTTTACAAAAAGTAATAATAATAATGTAGACATAAAAATGTAACACGAAACAGAATAAAAGGCAGTAAAACTTCGACCTTTTCAACTTTATGGACACACAAATAATGTTATGCAAGTCTTTCTTTCCTCTCGTTAATTTTATCCATGCCCACGAGGCTCTCGTTATTCAAAATAGCTATTGAATTAAGTTAGTAAGTTGAAGATGTTGAACTTTTCAAACTTGAAAAGTTATCATTAATAAAATTCAAAGCAAAATTGACTAAATAAAGGAAAATTTCTGATCGTGAAAAAGACCTTGCCATTCTATCATGACCTCAAACATTTTCACAACTTCCACTTCCATAAACAAGCAGAATTCTTTCTTTTCGATCGAATTCAAATGAATGCTCACATCTTATTTGAGACTCTTGTGATCGTATCTCACGAATTTAAATTCAGTGACTTTTTATGGCAATTTCCCCTCAAGACAGCTTTTGTGTAAATAATTTTAAAGAATTATAAAAGATCTTTTTTGAAGAAGTGCAATTTTTAACACATTAGACAGCAATAAATCTCAACCTTCACATGAGATGAAAATTGTCATATTTCGCAACTAATTGGACCTATTTAGGCCAGCATTTTGCACTACAATTTAAAATTATTTTTTTTGATGTCTCACGCCGCATGATCTTTCTAGTCCAAGATCACACGCAATTCATACATTTAAAAAAAAAAATTTCAATTTTCACTATAATTAAAAGCAAATGCGTCAAAAAATTTTTCACCTAATTTTTTTGCAATTCCGCGAATCATTTAAAATCTCAGTTATCAAGAAAATGCTAGCTGCTATGCCACCATAGAAGACAAGTCATGAATGAACAAGTACAAATTAAATGTAATGAAAAAGAGATTCACATTGGAGCAGCACAAGAGATTTATTGTGATGAGAATTGGGTCAATTCTTGCTGCAATTGCTCGCAATCTTGTCTTTACTTTTGCAAATTGGTTGAAACTTGTCTCGTATGTCTGACAAAGGCACCTCCTATGGCTGCATGCAAATTTTCATTCAATTCTTCTCATCGACACAAAGATGTTAAAAGCGACATTTTACGACTCAATTTAAGCCTCTTTGTGTCCAATGTGATTTATGTATTCATTGTCTAACTCTCTATTTGATCATTTTGGTGATAATGATCTTATTATTGGGACTATTACTTAAAGAAATGAAATAATAAGTTCAAACTGAATGATTGAATGTGGATGATTGGCAAATATTGATGAACTTTGCTGTTTATGTTTACATTTCCGACTGAATGAACATGATTCATTGTTGATTATGAAATAACTCTTATTCATACATTTTTAACGACTTCTTTTAATTTCTTTTTGGCTTGCTTCATTTATTTACCCATGCATTTTTTTTTTTTTTGGAAACAAGATGCTGAACTGAATAAAATTTTATTTATATATTCAATTTACACAAGCTCTTTGCTCTTCTTAATGATTTAAACAAATAAGAAATGAGATGAAATGAAAAGTGTTATCACCTCATTTATTATTGGTAATTATCGAATTCTTCTTCATATTTATGGCAAATATTTGAGATGAGTTTTTGAAGATTTTGTTTTGCATGTGGCTTGAGTTTTAAAAGATTGTGTTATATAATTGGAATTGAAGTCATTTTGAAGATTTTTGGAGATTTTATCATTAGACTTGGTACTATTGAACTCGTTTTTTGTAAGGCTTAAGTAAAATACGTTGATTTGCAAGACGTTAGCAGGACGAAGTCAGTCATTTTAGATGTAGAGAATTTTTTAAATTTTGGTCAGCCATCAGTAACAAGATGGCCAGAATTGAAAAGAACCATATTCAAGATCATCAAGAAGCAGTTAAGTGCCTTGCTGGTCGAATAGGTAAAGCGCTTGACTCAAATTTGGTATGGTAACTCGAAGGTCGTCGGTTCGAATCCAGCCATTTCCAAAATTTGTTCTTTTTTAAAAGTTTGGATACTTTGACTGCTTAATGTACGAGATCAAGCCATAATTGGTATAATATAATTGGTGTAGCGGGAGGAATAGGAACGAGAGCTATGGGATCGTTCACTCGTCGTATGACGTCCGAAAATAACGGTCATTTGATTTCCAGGAATTTCTATTGTTCTTTTCTTGCTGACCCCCCCCCCCCCCCTTCCTGGACGTCATAAGTGATATTACTTTATAATGGAATATTGTCAGAACGGACCTGAAATGCATCACATCACGCCCATAAAAGATTGAAACGAGAACCTGAATTTGATCGAAACCTAGATTTGAAGTCAAAAAGATAACCGATGAAACTAGGTTTCCCAAAAAGTTGCAAAAAAATCACGTAAACATTCAAATCTTTTAGATTCGATTCTTCATTAAGCTTTGCCAAAAGTAGAACAAAACCAAAAAAATTATTACAAAGCATCATGAATCAAAGAAGGTGTGTTTGCACATCTTAACAAATAAACCCCAAAACATTTATAAAATATGAATATTTGTCATTCAGGAAGTAACCAATTCCATTTTTGATACGGATTATTCTCACATTAGTTTATTAACAACTGTCAATCGCAGGTAGCGATAAACTGTAAATCAGCATAAGACTGTGACGATATGATTTATGACAGTTCAATATTCGTAACAAGTGAAGCTTGTTCAGTCACGTCAAATAATTTATAATTCTATAAACTGCTATAGACATCATTCTATCCAATCAATGATAATAAAAAATTCAAATTGGAACATCCAACTTCATTAAAGAGAACATCTGAGAAGTAAAATGTCAGATCTTAAGGCTTAAAACTACAAAAATCATGGCACTACTCCGACATACCACAAATTTAACAAAGCAGCAACGTAAATATTCCATGTTAATGCACAAATGAGCCCCGACAACAAAGATTATGATTTAATTTATTTGCTACCACAAAATATGAATATCGTGCCTGCAGACTTTTGTGTCTATACACAATAAGATGTTCAGTCTTTGATCTCATTATAAATATTTGTTGTAAAAATTCAAAATAAATTTTTATAGTCGTTAATTTCACCTATTCTTGTAGTTTTGTGTATATTTTATCGTTATCGTTCATGGTGTGAATTTATTGATCTTCGATTGCTCTCATTTGCATAACGGAATCTATTGTTTTTTGACATTTACGGTGTGTCTGTTGTTTATGAGGACTTCTGTTAAGGATATAAAGTTGATCCTCATAAAAAAAGTATGTCAATCGATAATATAAATTACTGTGACAGAAATTTCCTGAAAAATATAAATTCCAAAGATAAAGCTCTTCCAATTCACAATGAGCATCATTTTTCAGACTCTTTGGAATGTTGAGCTTCAAGTGTTAAATGTGGCTTAATTAAATCACACGAAAAAGTCAGATGAATACAAAAGATTTGCCGCAAATGATGAGCGTGCGGAATACGGGCTGCTTATCTGTCTTTCATCTTAGCATTCACAACATTCGCCTACTCGTTAAGTTATTTTCGTGAATCATCTCTCAAGATCTTCTTTTAAATTCGCTGATTTTTGCATACTTAAGAGTTTTGGTGTTGCTTTATTTTGGAAGGTTCTTTAGCGATTAATCTAAATAAGTCTAAATATCATTTAAAGTTTTGACAGTCTTTTTGGATACGGACACTTCAAAAATGATATTTTTTGGAAGGTTCTTAACTGTAAATGGAAATGCTTCATAATTATCTTTACATTAATCATAACTTGTCAATAATTTGAAGTAAATCTGTCAAAAATGGAAGCAATTTGTGTTATTATATGAAGTTTAGGTATATTAGCAATTACTAAGTAGAAAAGCGACAAGCTTAGACTTCAAGTGCAATTATAATGAATCTAAAATAAAGAACAAACTAAAGCACAGTTTAAATTCAACAGAAACCAGCAGGTGTATTTAATATTGTCTTTTATAGAACCATAACCTATGACTCATCAAATAGTCTTCACGAGATGCATAAAAATTAAGTTTACGACACTTTTGTGATTTATTGATTATGGTCATAAATTTTGTCGATAAGATTATCTTCTTTCTCTTACTAATCAGCATTTCAATATTGCATTTAATGATGAAGAAATACAGGCATTATAAACTGTACGATTAAGAAATTATTGATGTTTTTTCTCGCCGCGTTTTAATTAGCGATGAATCTTGTTTTCCTAATTTTAAGTTTTTTAATCTTTTTGAAATCTTTATCATTTTTCTTCCAATTTCAACGGCTGCAAATTATTTTTTTCTAAAACCAATAAAGTTTATTGCAGATGTGTAAATATTGAGTCTTAAATTCAAATGTCAGTAAGTCACAAAAGTTCTCGAAAAATCTGCAAATCTTTCATGACAAAAAACAGCATTGCTAAATTACTGCGTTCCGGCATGAAATCCAGATAATCATCAATAATATTCAATTAAATTTATGATACCAATAATTTAGGAATTAGTTGTTACACAGGGCTTATGTGCTGCCTCAAATGTCAATGCAAATATACTAACCTCCATATTTTGGTGTGCATAACTTTCATATTGACTAAAATAATCTCAAAATGACTTAACTTTGTTGCCCAAACATGGCAAATCTGTCTGCAAAGTCTCATCATCTCAAAACATTTAATTAATTACAAATATTTTAAATCCCACATTCAGATACGTGAACTTGCTGGAACTCCAAATGGTCTAGTACCACGAACTAGTTTTACATGTAGCGGCCGACCACCAGGATACTATGCAGATGTAGAAACTGATTGTCAAGTTTATCATTTATGCGAACAAGGACGACAATATAGCTATACATGTCCAAATGCCACACTTTTTCAACAGCGAATGCTTGTTTGTGATCATTGGTACATGGTTAACTGCTCAAAATCGGAAGAAAATTATAGATTTAATGATTTGATTGGACAGAGGGTAAGTTAAGGGTCAGGAGGGATTTTGATATTACGGAACGTTAGTTCTCTGAAGTATAACCTTAACATAAATCTATTCTTTCTAAAATCAATTTAGGATCAACCTTTCGTATCAGACATTGATGTACAGAACAGAACACCACGATCAGACATTCTTGATCGACCATATGCACCCGATTATAAAGGAGAAAGTTTCAGGAAGCAAATAGTACAGGTATGAGCACATAGTCATTAAAATCCATTACATAATATCCAATCATGATCTTTTATCTTTCACTTAAATAATGCAGAGCAATTTCCCATCGTTGCAAAATGCAATTAGTGGAATTGACTTATCTAAGAATATAAATAGAAAGTACGAGATTCTTGAGACTCAAGCATCAAGTAACATCCTCCCACCACAAATCGACTCGAACTCGTTGGACCCAACATTATTGCCAGCATCTGAAGAATTTCCACAATTTGATAAGTTCAATGACAGACGAAATGCATTCTCAGGAGAATCTGAAGAATCAAATGGAAAGGGACTTTTACCACCTCCAACAGGATTTGAACCTCCACGAGTCTTACCTAATAGCAATGATCAGTTCCGTGCAACTGAAGAACGACGATTAAGAGATCTTGGACTTCCATTAGCAACACCAACGAGACCAACAAGAACGAAAGCTTCACAACCAACAGCACAAAATGTCAAACAAGGCACAAAAAAGCCAGGTTCACAGACATTTAATCCAGACAAAAATTATGCAGCATTTGAACATTTCTTCCCATCTGGAAAAGCTACTCATGATGATTATGACTTTTCAAAATATTTCCCAAGAAGAGAAGGTGTTCAAACCACAAGAAAAGCAGCAACATCCAATTTCAATGCTCGATTCAATAATGATAATAATAAGAAATCTCCAGTTGGACCTCCAGCTACACAAAGACCAACACAATTCAATAGCGGAGTCAATAGAAATGTTCAAAGACCAGTAGCAACAACAGCAAGACCAGTGGTTAGACAACAGCCAATTGTTGTAGCAACAAAAGCACCAGTGACATTTAAAGCAGTAGCAACAACGAAAGCAACGCCGAGAGTTAATAAGCCAGTCACACCCGCTAGCATAAAAGTAGCTGCTCCAGTTAAAGTTACAACACAAGCAACATTTGCTGCTCAAAGACAACAGCAAGTAACAAAAACACCAACATCATTCCAAAATCAAGTCACACAGGCAGCACCAAGAACTCAACAGAAGCAACAAGGTAGAATTTCAGTGCCATCACAAGATTTAGAATTGCCATTCGATATTGTTAAAGTTTATGATGATGCCACTACTCGTGGACCTCCAGTCTACTACGACTTGAAAGAGAAAATCTCAGAATGGAGAGTGCCTGACAATGGACTTATTCCACCAAAGTTTGATAATGAGACAGACAGTTCACCAAAGAGATCACTTTTAGAGGAAGGCAATCATGGTCAAAATAGTGACATTCAAAGTAGTGAAACAAGAAGATTTGGCAATTCCAAGACAGTCAAAATTCAATACAAAGATCTTCAAAAATATTTCGCAATTCCCGAAATTGAATTTCCAATTGAAGATTATGGACGTGATGGATATGACAAGGATGATGCTGTAAATAGCTTCCAAGTTAAGATACCATATCGAGAAGGTAATAATAAGGTGTCAGCTGGTGAAAGATATTACTATCTTGAACATAGTCATTGTAATCCTGAGTGTCATCCTTACTTCTTCAAACCTGGTCGATGTGAGCCTTGCATAAAACTGTAAATTTTTAATCTTTAGACTTTTAGGATATTTTTGGTCCAAGTGACATGAAAGTCATGTGATTTGATTGAGATTAAAGCTTGTCATATCACTTTCATGTCTTTTCGGCCTTCTTTTTATCTTGTAAGAATTAGAAATTCCCAACTTTAAGCTACTTAAAAGAAGAATAAAATCTTGATGGAACTTTGCGATAATTCTTTTTGCTGCTATTAATTACGTTAATGCATATTAATTTTACGTCTGTAGATTTATGCGAATCTTCTTTTCTCTATACAAAAAAAAAAAAGAAACAATTTGTGTATAGATCGTAACTTTTTAAGCTTATCATAGATATTAAGATGTTTTTGAATACAATATGTGTCTGGTCAAGGTGGATATAATGTGGAAACTGTATTTAGGAGTTTGAGAATTTTTTTTTGCGAGTTGTCATAGCTCGAAGTTGATTTGGTTCTAATCGAGTCGACTTTAAACTGGACTTACTAGGTACGAACATGAAATTGATGTTAAACCAAAACCAGAAAATAATTCTTGAATCTTAAAAAACAGTTTCCAAATTTTCAAATTTTCTTGTCAAATATAGACATCTTGAATCCAGTCTATCCATAAAATTGAAATTAAGCATTTGAGATGAATCTAACTATAAATTAAAAATAAAATCGAATTAAATACGTTTATTACTTTACTGAAAAAAATTGTTAAAGAAAATTGATTTTTAAGGACGAATAAAAATTTAACAGAAAATAAATCAATCTGTTATTGAATTTGCTGCTTAATATTTTTTTTACAGGATTTAAGGTATCATTTTTAGAATGAAGATTGAACTCAAGTGGATCTTGAATTTTCAGCAGTTTAACAAATAGCTTTTCAGTTTTTTTGGTTCCTAAGATTCATAGAGGTCTAATTTAGACAAAGAAAACACACTTAGGGATCGTTGACTTATGACGTCCGAAAATAACCGTCATTTTTCAAAAAAGATCAATAGATTTACAGGAATTTCTATAGTTCTTCTCTTGATGACCCCCCACCCCCCTTGGACGTCATAAGTGAACGGCCCCTTAGGAATCTTCCGGAAGTTTGGGAAGTTTTCTCAAAAAAACTTCCGGAAGTTTCCAAAGTGTTTATGCTTTGAATTTAGAGCAGTAATAGACTACAGTGGTTGCTGAGCAGAATCAAATCTAAGAAATCGAATTATATGCAGAAGCGTAGCCAGGATTTTTCAAGGGGGTGCAAAAAAATTTTTATAGTCTAAAATCAATAAACCTTCTCTATTTGATTATTAAAAGCTATTGTATTGATATAGCTTTCAACCAGGCTTTCAACTAATTGGCTTTTATTAATTAACTTTGATTTAAAGTTTAAAAAAAATTCAAAAAAATTTGTATGAAATCAAGGGGGGGGGGGGGGTTCTCAGGCACCTAAGGAGCACCCCCCCCCCCCCCCCCCACGGAGAATACGGAATTGTTCATTGTTCATCTGAGAATACTGAATTGAACAATCATTTTTCTGATATATTTATTAAATTTTTATCATTTCCCTAAGTCTAAGTCCTAAGTATCTTATGGAAGTTAATCAATTTAAAGCTTTCAAGAGCAACTACTCAAGACCTCTCTTAAAAGATATCAATCAAATAATCATTTCCTATAGAAAACCATAAGATTAATCATCAAAGTCTATGCAACGTCTACATATCCAATTCACAGTGCTGATTTCAATCTAGCAATGTTCATAAAACCCCAAACAAAGCGAATAATTCACCAATTAAATTCCTTCTCACAGTGTAAATTAGCACCACCATCATCGATATCAATTAAGTCAAATAAGCACTCCATTCATCCATTCAAAAAAGACCTTCCATTTCTTCACTCGCTAATTTCTGCATAGCATCATTAACAATGCCAGCAATATTGTGGAAACAAACAAAAACAAAAATTAATCAACAGCTCCAGAATTATTTTTTAAAAGCTCACAACAAATAGAAATTGAACTTGATTACATCCATTCATTCGAGGATCTCTTTCATCCTCACTTTTAGTATGGTGACATTCGAGTGATATCCATAAAGAAGCTATTAATTGAATGAAATTAATTTAATTTCCTCATAATCAACTTCTTGATTGTAAAATTTACGAAAAAAAATGGTGATACAGCACAATGAATTGAGTCAAGCCGTAAATGAAGAAAAAGAAGGCATATTTGAGATCAATGAGCCTGTCCATTTATGATTTACGATCGATTCATTAATGGCTTTATTTTGTGCCGAACTCTGAATAGAAAGAAAAATATTGCTTTGACTTGAAGTAATTACCGTCGATAATGTATGCAAATTTTTCTTGCCTTAAATTTATCACATTTCAAGAAGGAATTCATTATGGACGATTACTTTTATGCATGAGATTAATTGCAGGCTGTTTAATTGAGAAATTATGTGGATTAAGCAATTTTGTGGTTAGGAAAGGCAAATGAACCAGCATGATTCAGTTTTTATGTCCATATCTGATGCTAACGTCTGTGTCTTATGATTAAAATTATTTTGAGCTTTTACAATACTAAACAGGTCGAAACTTCATATTTAATAGATTTAACATGAGCGGCAGAGCTCGAAGTCGATAGGGTACGGAAAAAAATGAAGTCGACTCGAAAAAAGTCAAGGCGTGGAAACTCAGGATTAATCCTGAAAAATCCCAAAAATTCTAAAAGTGAAATCCGTCTTAAATCCCTGATGCATTTGATGAATAATTTCGAGATTTAAAAGGAATTTGACATTTTCATTTTTTTTGCCTCAGGGATTTTTAGGATGTTTGGGATTTTTCACGATTAATCCTGAGTTTCCACGCCTTGAGAAAAGTTGAGTCCACTCGAAAAACCCAAATAGACTCAAGTCAACTCGAGTCAACTCCGAACTCTGATGAGCGGTGTATACAGCTAGGACTTCAAGACCTGTGGATGGCGTTCCTGGCTGCACCACTGTTATCATGATGTTTTTGCTATTTAGTATCTTGAAAATACTCTTGAAAATCCAATTCAGACATTCCAATGTGCCATATTCACGCGACCAAATAAATCTAGCTCTTTCCCATTCAAATGAATACAAATTGTTCAATAATCACCTTGTTACTGTTTTATTTCTGTTATCAATATAAAAAATTATTGTCAATGACTTCACGATGAATAATCGGTCCAAAATGAAGCAATAGATTCGTGTGAATCTCGTGTTTTCCTCTTCTTCTTCTCATTTCTTTTCTTCTCATTTCATTTCGTTATTCAATGAAGCCATAAATTAGTGAAGAGTAGCAAAAAATTACAGACATGAATTAAAAAACTGAAAAATTAGTTAAACGATGAGCAGACATCGTGTCTTATGTGAAACTCGTGGTCGTCATTCTCATTTCTACTCTATATAATTTAACATCTGGGATCGTTGTGAACTTAACAAAAGCACAAGACGAAGATGTAAGCGAGCTGTTACGTCGAGACTCTTTTTTTTCTTCTTTCATTTCCGAATTACTTAAAAGTTAAATTACAGCTACAGAAGCAGCTGATTCATTGCTGGTGAGATAATACATAGCTTATAATTTATGTTGAACAATGTGGAAGATCTTTTTTTGTATGCAAGGAGATCAATATGAATCATAAATCTTGTATGCAGCAATAAAGTTCAAGGACGTTGACAGCTTGAATTAAAAAAGAATGAACATATTTGCCATAATTTTGTGCGACAGATTCTCTCGTATGTGGTATGTTCAAGGACAAAGAACTCACGAGTTTTTAATGGCTACATGCTGATTCTTGTTGCTGCTGTAAAAGAAGTGCATTTTTGATCCAAATTTGTAACTGATATTTTAAGGCAAAATTGGGGGTTTCGGCAAGGAGAATTTTTGTTCCGATTCTATGAAAGGCTTTATTGTGGATTATTTGAAATATCAAGGTATTATACTATATTACTTGATCTCTTAAAAAAATTAATTGATTCCTCTAAAATTGATTCAAAAGCCAAGAAGAAATTAAATTTTTTAACATGCAAAAAATTAATAATTTTTATGTCAACAAATCCTAATTTATGGCTCTTAATTTAATTCAACTTCAAACTTATTTATTTCCTGTTTTGAAGCTCCTAATTCTATTTTGATTACAACCTGAACTCTTTTGCTGATGAGCTAATAAAATAAAAATTATCATTAATGAATATGCATTCTTGAGACGAAATAAGAACTAGAATCTCCGGTAATTCGTTCGAATCAAATCAGTGTTATATCCTAGTCCAAATTCAAATTATTTACTCCTTTAATATTAAGTAAAAATATTTATGTGCTTCGTAAAGTTTTATTGCAATTGGAACATTTTTATCAGTCCTAATTCGTCAAGTATAGATGAAACTCAATAGCATGTCATTAAGCTAAGATTCACATTTCAAAATAGTCTCAATATTTCACCTCAAGAATATAAAGTTGATGATCAATTTGCAAATTAAGAAGAATAAGCAGTAAGAGCTTTAAAATTCCAAACGTGCTTCCTCTAGATTTGAGACGTGCTCTTACAAACTCTTAAGAATTTGATGAAATTGATAGCTTCTGTTTGGATGTTGATGACCATCAATTTCAAATTATTTGTCACTTAAGAAAACAAACTTTTGAGAATTGACGGAGAGGCATCCAAAAAAAGATCCCACAAATTTATCAGCTGGATATGATTAAGAATTAGTTTTGAATATTCATTACTTACAGGATTTCCGATGATTATTCATCAAAGCATTAATATTTGTCATTTGATTCCAATCAAAAATCTTTGTATTTGACGTCAATTCACAAGAATTTCAACTAGTCAGCCATCGTCCAATTTAAATACCAAGGAAATATTAATAGTTTATTCTATTGACATTATCACAGAAACTTTAAAATTCATCAGTGTCATAAATACTAGCTAATTCTCATGTTGGTCTACTTTACTTCTTCTTAATCCTCTATTCGATTTGTCAACTTTTTATTTAAGTCATTTTGCAATTTAAATTTGCTGTTCGTGATGATGATGATGATGTTTGTGGTATAAAAGCTTTTATTATTGCTATTGATGCTGTTGAGGCACGCGTAGTAATGAAATATATTTTTATGAACTGCTAATTTTAGGCTTGAGTTAAGATCAGAAACTTTGAAGGATTTAAGACTTACATAGAGTAGCTTTCGATAAGTCAGTGATGACCTAAAGTGACACAGAGGGTTTAGATCAATCCATGTTGTGTCAGAACTAGTTAACATCACTTTTGTTTTTTTGACTCAAAGCTCGAAGTCGACTCGACTCAATTCAACTTAAAAGCTAGCGTCTTCGAGCTCTGTTTTGACTTAAACATACACAAAGTTTTGATACATTTTTATGCTTTTTGAATTTGAAGTTTCAAGTATTTAATTTGCCTTCTGTTATTTTCGATCATTAATAGAATGCAAAGTAATCAGTTTTTTTCTGTTTAAGAAATAAGGAATTATTTCCATATTACGGCTTTCAAAAAATAATAATTTAGATCCTTAACGCCCTCCTTCCTTAGTTGCATACATTTTCCTTCATATTGAGCTGTCAAATGATAAGCCAAATGGAAAGTGACCAAATGTGCGTCGGGAATAGTAGGTAACCCGTCACAAGATATCAGATCATCTTTCCTTTTTAATTGACATAGTGGGGGTCCTCGATTTGAGTAGGTGTTTTGTTCCAGAAAAATCTTTTTCAAATCGAATTATTTACTTTTTGTATGAAAAATGACCGTTACAAATTTTTTTTTTAAATTTTCTATTCACTAATTTTCGTTAAGGGCCATTCACTTATTACGTAACGCTTTTAGGGGAAGGGGGGGTCTAAGATTTTGTTACGGTTCAAACAAGGAAATTTTTTTTTCATACAAATTTTGTTACGAGGGGGGGTCTAAGAAGTCATTTTTTCGCGTTACGTAATAAGTGAACAGCCCCTTACTCAAATCGAGGACCCATAGTACATCATTAGCGCAAGATCCAAATCAATGAAACCTCAAAAGCAGGCACAGTTTTAATACAAAATTAATTAGCACAATCACTGATAAAATTTTATCATCATGAAATCTATATCGCAAGGTCGAACTTAATAATAATGACTCCTTATTTATTAATTGCACACTTTAATTACGAAATGCGATATTAATGGCTTAAAATAATCCACAAAACCTGATAAATAATTCAATTAACATTGAGACTGTCGAAGAAAATAAGAAGTAATTAATTTGAGGCCTCAATTTTTCTCTTCGTCGGTGCAAAACTCGCTGCTATCATTATCATTGCCATCCTCATAGTCATCTCCATTCATATCATCAAGTGTTACTTCAATTTGCTTGTTGAACCATTTGTCGATGCCACTGTTGCTGTTTGGATTTCCGTTTTCATCTCTTTGATCATTAATATTGTCATCTTTCTTAATTTCTGTGATAATTTTTACTCCATTTGGAATTGAAATTATTTTTGTGAAGCTTCTGTAGGATTGCTCGTCATGTCTTTGCATGTGCTCTGGTTTCTCTTCCTCCTTAGCTTCATTATATGTGTAGAAATATGTTTGACTGTTTACAGTATCTCCAATTTTATCATTTCTAGGTGGTTTGACACAATTTGCAGAGTATCTTCGCATTGACTGTATTATCGGTTGGAACGGATTTGTGGACTTAAAATTATTTTCATTCCTTATTGGAATCGGCGGTGCGCATTGAAAGTATTCAAAATTAATATCATTCATTTCATCCTCATATGGCTGCATTTGTTGTTGGTGCTGCTGTTGATGTTCCATCATTTCATGTCCACTGTAACTAGCTGGATTGAAATATGAACTAGCCGGCATACAATAGCTTTCAGGTGACGACGTATTGAATGAATATGGCTCAAAATTCTTTGTCATATTATGCATGAGATTTCTATTGGAACTTTCATGTGGCGATTGCATCATTGATTGATGATGTTGTGGAACGAAATTTTTTGATTGATGAACGCATTTTGGATGTTGAAAGCTTTGTGACGTGAACTTGTTTTGATTGTGCATATTCATGGAAACGTTTGAATAATGTTCATTTTGATTCTGAATTTTAGGTGGATTGGTGCTGTTGATTTTGTTATGCTGCGAAAAGTCCATAGCTTTATGATGAAATGAATAATTTCTATAGTTCTAATACTAGAACTTCTAAATTGAATAAGGCTTAACAGGAAATTTTAATGAAGCTAAAGATTGAAAATTTAGAGTTGAAATGAAAGCTGTGAAATTTGAACTTCTCAAAGCTGACTTAACATTTTGGAATTTATTTCATCAAAATCAAGTACCAGTTTATTTTAAAAGATTCAGCATGATTATTAATATTAAGGAATTTACAATTTTAAAGACACTTGCTTAGAACTTTAAAATTAAATTCAATTTTTTATTCAACTTCGTACAAATTAATATAATCAATCAGACATACTTCTTAAGTAGTTCCTGTAAATAATCTTAACTTTCTTCTTTATTATTCTCTTAATTTTAGTGTTAATGTTAACAGTTTCGGAAGTTCCATCATCCAAAATTCCAATTTCTTCATCCAGCAATATCAAGTCAATGTAAAGACAGAACACAAACCTAAAGGAATCTGATTTTGGTTCATCACTAATCAAATCACCAAGTAACGTTTTCATGAAGTTTTCAGCAGTCAGGTCTTCTGATTCAGGTAAGATTGCAAGTAGATTATAAAGTTTAAAGTCCATGCCTTCAAATTCTTTGGTTTCTGGAAGTTCAAATGTTGACAAGTCAGTGTTAAGATCTTCAGTTTTGTAGGTGCTGCACAGTTTTGGTTTGTTGTCTATGCATGATTGGAATAGAAATTCTTTCAGTTGCTTCCAAAATTCTTTTGGAACAACAGTTGGAACTTCAAACTTTTCTGTGGTTAAATCTTCAGTTTTGAGAGTTTCAGTGACATTTTCGACTTTTGAAGTAGTAGAAAGTTCCGTGGTTCCTTCAGTAGTTGTATCCAGTTTTTCTTTAGTAACTGAAACGGTAGAACTCATTGGTTCTTCAACATCCAAGATATCTATAACTGTTGTCGCTTCAGAAGCAGCTTCTGTTACTGGATCAAGTAAGCAATCTTCAACTTCAAAATCCCACACACCAGTTTCCGTACAGGATATTAAGTTTTCATTCTCAGTTGAAAATCCTTTCTTACACTTTATTTCAACAAAAGTTCCAAGTGGATATGAAGGAAGGCTCTCATTAATAATACCAGAATCAGATGCATAAATCAACATTCCATTTATAGGTTCCTCTAAAACTGGACATTCATAGATACTTTTACATGTTGGAATATTTGCAGACCATTTGCCATTTCCTTCACAAACTAAAGTTTCTTTTCCTTCAAGTCTAAATCCTTCGATACATTTAAACTTTGCCATTCCTGTATAGCTCAATTTTGTAAGTTGCATTCGTCCATTCGCTGGTGTCTTCAGCATATCACATTTTACAATTTTACATGACGGAAGATTCGATAAATCCCATTTGGATGTTCTCAAGCAGAAAACGAATGGCTTTCCTTCAATTTTAAATCCATCATTACACTTGACAAATGCACTTTGATCTCCATAAATGACATTTGCATTCTCAACTTCCAAATTTTCCTCGCATGGCTTACAAAAATCAGATTTTACAACTTTGACATTTCCAATTGTTTTAAGCTTCAAGTCAGTCCATGAAATAAAGTCACTTTGATATGGATCACAGGAACGATAATATTCATTAACCTCTGTAGCAAGTAGTTGGCGCTGCCAAAAGTCTAGGTATGATATTTTCCCAACAAACGATTCAGTTTCACTGAAGTCACCTGAGAAGGAAAGATAATAAGGATTAAGTTGTGGAATAAAGGATAATAATTACCTCCTATGCTGTCCTGTTCCTGTCCAATAATGAAAACTCCATTTCCATTTATTGGCATAGATTTACTTAAATTGTAACCTTGAACATGCAAGTTTCCATCCAAATATATTTCGTAAAGTCCTTCATTCATCGTCCATGAAACTAAGAGCAAAAGAGAAGTGGTCACAAAAATTAAGTATATCCCAAAATTTCATAAGCATTAAGCATCTTACCGCACAAGAAATGCCAAATATTATCAATTATTTTAATATCCGTTATCACATTAACGCCATTAATATACAGCACAAGTCCATTATAGTCAGTAAATGTGAATGCATTATCGTGCTCCATATTTGCGTACGAAATTATTGATCCATAGTTGAACTGATCATTAGTCTGAATCCACGAGCAAAAGGAAATTTCTGTCAAATTGTATTTCGGTCCATCAAATTTTATGTAATTATTGATGCTTGACTTTTCAAACTCAAACACAAAGTCGGGTGTCGTGAAGATTTCGCATCGATCACCGTAAAAGTATGGTGGGCAGCTGAAAAGAAGATGTACGATTATGCAAAAGACACATAATGATCTTAACAGTTCATTGGCATTGTTCATAAATGATGTCAATAAAAACATTGAACATTCTCCCTCCTCCACTACTTCTTTTGTACAGCTACAGGCCCCTCACCCTCTTAAAAGTTTGACACAATTTATGTACGATCTCTCATTTATATCTCCGGCAGAGATATTGATACAGTCTGTTGTGAAAACTTGTTATTTCTGATCATCTCATAAGGAGATGATTTATGATGAGCTGAAGCTTACCTGCATGAATATTTTTCGTAAATTGATTCGTCATCGACTAATGTAATATTTTTTGGATCACGCAAACTCTTTGGTGTACATTTGGCTTCGTTATGACATGGATTTGGGATACATTGATTGTTGACTTGATTGCATTTAGGTCCTTTTAGTCCGGTAAAGCATTTGCAGCTAAGATTTTGAATTAATTCAAGGTTTAATATCAATACAACTTCAATTTCACTTACAAATAGCTATCCTTAGTGACTCTTGTTGTCTTAATGTTATGGCAGACAGAATTCTCAGGACAAGGTCCATAATCACAGGGCTGCAATTGACACCTCTTACCCATACTTCCTTCCTCACAAATGCACTCATAATAATCATTTTTATTGACACAAGTAGCATTCTCAAAGCATGGAGAACTAGCACAGAAATCAATTGGTATCCTCGTCTCACATAAATCACCCTGAAAGCCAGGCATGCACTCACAAAAGGCTTCCTCATTAATCTCATAACAATTTGCACCATTTTGACAGTCTTTTTGATTACACGGCTCATCGATATATTCACAAAACAAGCCTTGATATTGAGGTGGACATTCACATGTGAATGTCTCATTGATAGCCTTACAGATGCCATCATTAAAGCATGGAGCTGATGAGCATGGATTTTCAGCTATTTCGCAATTTTGTCCATAAAATCCATCATCACATTCGCAACTGTTTTATTGAAATGACTAAAAATTAATTACCGGATTTAAAGCTACAGAATCTTTACGTGCCTATAAAATGAGTCTGTCTGTATGCATTCACCATGATCACCACAAGTTGTAGAGTTGCATGAATCCTCAAATCTTTTATAGCAGTCGTCAATTGATGTTGATGCTCGTTCAGATGTTAATCCTTCCGGACATTCATCACATGTTGTTTGATCGTACTTTGATTGATACTCACCAATTCCACAACTTCTACAGAATGGCATGAGTGTTTTTGGATTTGCAGCTGTGCTGTTCTTTTTAAGTATCTTCATGCGTGCAAAATTTCCGGGTCCACACATTTCACGGCAATCGGTTTCAAGACGACTTCCTGTTTTTCTTGTAGAATAATTTATAGGGCAACTATTGCAGGATGTCTGACCTGTCTCGTTGTTAAAAGTACCGAGTGGACAGGGAATGCACAGATTTTGTGTGCTGTCTTGGTAAGTTCCTCTTGTGCATTGAACTGGAAATAAAAAATTCATTATTATGACTTGTATAGCTTGATATCTTTGGAACTTATAATCATCAAGAATACATACCACACACAAGCTTCCTAGAAACACTTCCAGTATTACAACTTACAGTCTCGTCTAGCTTCAAAACAGTAAAATCTAAATTCATGTTCCTTAATCTCTTCCTGAACCTTTCACTTAAATTAACCCTTTTCAGTTCCTCCTTGACCTTCTTGATATTTTCAGAACGTGTTGAACTGGAACGCCACATACCTAGATTCTTGGATATCTTCACATACAGTTCAATCTTTTCTGGGTTCTTTGGTCTAGTCTTCTTTATTGGTTTAGAAGCAGTGTCACGTTTGCTGATGATATAGTAAGCAGCTGATGAATTGTCAACAGAATCTTCTTCTACACATTCAGGAAGTTCTGTTATTATGTCACAATCTTGATCGCCACATAATTCTTCTTTCAGTTCCTTTTTAAGCTCATCTTGCTGTGAAATAAATTGAAGGCATTAAAGATATGTCCTAGAACTTAAATGAGGATATAACACAAATTAAGTCTACTTACATTTTTTGCATAATCCTCACACAACAAATTTTCGGAATTTAACGAAATTGTCAGCACTTCCTGAACTGAATTTGGCTGTTCAATTTTCAAACATTCAGGCATTGTCTCCCGTGACCAAATCCGATTGTCAAGATCACATGTCAATATTAAATTTTCAATCACTGTCTCATTATCCATCAATCCATAACCAAAATTGCATCGAAAATCACACCAAGTCATTGTGTCATTCTTCGCGCAGATTCGTTGACCATTTTCAGGCTTTTCGAGCTCATCACATTTCTTTTCTTTTACATGAATGTAAATCAGGCATGAATTTTTATTTCCTGATTGATCGATTGCTGTGTAATTGACTAAATGCTCGCCATAGCTGAGAGGTATTGAGTTGTTGAGGCTTCTTATTATGGTGATGTTTTTGTCATCTATAGTATCGTAGATGAATGGCTCTTCCCATTCAATTGGCTCAATTGAGGCATTAACAACGTAGAATGTTTGACTTGAAATGCAGTTCTCAAAGACCGGTGGAGTAAAGTCAGCGATGGAAATTGTGAAATTACATTTGGCTTTGTTCTTAACTTCATCAATTGCGACGTAAGTGAATGTGTAGTTTCCAGCATACATTTTAGTTCCTTCTTCTTTTAGGGCTGGTTTAACCCAAAATGTCACATTTGAGTTGGAGTTGTCTGTTGAAGAAGTTAGGAAATATGGAAGCTTTAACTATTAGTTCTAATAGACGTAGTCAAGAATTTGTTAATCAGGTCCCTCTAATCTTTTTCTTGACTACGCTCCAATGTCACTCAAATATATCTCAAAACATTTACCTTCCATCACTTCTAACTCCTTAAATGACGTTAACAGCACATAACTCTTGTTTCCAATTAATTCAATTGAATAATCTTTTGGACACACAATAATTGGAGGTGTAACATCCACACAGCGTGGGATTTTACTCTTTTGTGTCCAAGCTCCATTTCTGTTGTTGGTTGTTGTGCAAGTTTTGAAAGCTGGTCCTTTCAGCTCAAAACCATCTTCGCATGTTATTGTGCAGTTTGTGTTAACCGGTGACTTTTGTTCAAAACATTCGTCAAATTCGTAGAAACCGAATGGAATTTTCGGGAGCATTGGACAGAGAATTTCTGAAAGTGTACAAGAATTAAAAGCTATAAAGAATTTATGAGTTTATTAACTCACGCTTGCATGAGGTTTGTAGACCATCCCATTTTCCAACAGGTAAGCAATGTCGTTTTTTACTTCCAATCAAGTGAAAGCCTCGAGCACATGTAAAGACACATTCAGTGTCAGTTGGAAATTCATCAGTAAATTTAGATATATCTGGGTTATAGTCGATCAAGAACGATTCGTTTCTAGGCGAGTAATCGACTGTTAAATTTGAGTCTGGATTTTTGCAGAACGTTGTTCCATAAATTGGAATCTGCAGGATTGGGCAGGTTTTTACTGAAAAAATACAGAAAATTCTAGAACCTTAGATTGTCATAAAAACAAGCTACATACATTGACACACAGTCTCTTGTCCACTCCAGATTCCATCTTCTTGACATAATCGAATTGAAGAACCAATCAACTGATATCCAGACATACAACGAGCACCACAAGCTGAATTGACAGTACTAGCGCATGATGTTGACACAAAATATCCATTATCAGGTACTGGAAGTGGTGGACACTTGATAACTTCACATCGATTCTTTTGTGTCTGCCTATATCCAAGTTTACAAAAACAATCATTAAGACTCATAGCAGGTGCAACTCGAGTTTCATGATTAATGTCAGGACAATTAAAACATGAGTTCCATGAATTCCAATAAGTTCCATTTGGACATAGTTCACATCCTCCAGATCCTTTTATTCCACTTCCATAATATCCAGCATTACAAATGCAGTTATAGTGACCAGAATGAAATCCACAAGCACAACGTGAATTCGGATCACAGCATGAACCTTCAGTTGTAATACTTCTATCACAAAGAGAGTCACAATGACTGGAATTGGACACTGGCAAGATGACACCAACTTTATAATCTGTATGAAGAGCTTTTCTTGCCAAACTTTCAAAAAGTGAAAAGCTTGACAGCATGTAATTAAAATTTTCAATTGGTCTGCTGCTTATTTTTCTCAATTCATCAAGATTTCCAGAACTGATTCCAACAGTGAAAATTGTGACGTTGCTGACTTTAAGTTCTTCTGCAATTGCTGTTGGATTTCTTCCATTTGAGAAGCCATCGGTGATGAGGATTAAAATTTTCTTGATTTGTGGTCGTTTTGTGTTGTCGAAGATTTCCTGGAATTTGGACATGATGGTAAGATTAAGAATTACCGAATAGCACAAGTTGGTTAATAGAATAGAAATTTGATGCCAAACCGGCATGACTCTAGAATGGTGCTGGCTTTGATTTAAATCCAACACCATGACAGAGTCTCGCCGGCTTGGTACCGGATTTCTGATCGATTAATCGACTTGTGTGATTCGGGATAGTTTGATGGTTTAGCAAAAAGTATCTTAAATGTTTTCTTTTCTCAAAAATCCCTGGAAAATTAAAGAACTTCTCTAAAAGATTCCCCTTGTTCCTTAATCACACTACTGACCCAATTTTTTTTCCAATTGACTTGGATTAAATCATGTTAAAGGAAATTGATCTGATCAAAATAATCAAAACATGATTAAGGAGATTTGCACTCTTAGTCGTGTCAAGAACTCCGATTCATTGTTCTTTACCTTGGCTCTCAATAGAGCACCATAAGTATTAGTTCCACCACCTGAATAGGTAATATTTGGAATCTGATGATTCAACAGCACACATTTATCATTATCCACAGACTCTTCTGATATTTGATTGATATGAGTGATCTACAAGAAGTAACATTTTATTAGAACCACAAAAGTCGGGAGAGTTCCTTTAAAACCTTACAATCTTAGACCTAGAGCTGTATGTTATGATAGCAACACGTGTGTAATTAAAGCTTACATTTAAGTCGCTCAACAATCGTTTGACGAAGCTAATTTCATTCTCAAAGTTTTCCTTCCCAACAGAGGAACTAGAATCAACCAGAAAGACCATGTCGATCTTCTTATACTTCATCTTGATCTTCGTTATCACTTTCCTAAAAATGTTGCTCATCCCATCCAGTTGTGACTTGATTACATCATTTTGAGCTTGACGTGCATCCTCATCAAGCTTATCATCAAAAATTATAGATTTGCCGGTTGTTGTTGTTGTTATTTCAGCTGGCGATAATGGAGTTATTGACGCTTCAGGAATCTCCTCATATTCGTCATAAGAATAATCAACGGTGATTTCTTGACCCACATTAAGTCTTATTATCAATATTATAGTAATTAAAATTAATTCACTTTTCATTTTTCTCATCGTTCATTCGAAATAATTTGTTGACATTTAAATTATACACATCATAAACTTCAGCTTACTGATAATGTTTGTAATTATCACTTGATGTATGTGTTTACTACTTGTGAGGCATTAACCTTTATTTTCCTCTTTTCTTTTTATTCACTGTCTTGTCTGTGCCGCGATTTTGTTGTATTTATGCTAATTGGATCATAAAATTATAAGGTCCAAGTTGGGCTTGTTAACACATTTAGTTCAGATTTGTATGCTAATTGATTTATGTTATTTGACACCTGTGATTCATGTTGTGATATGAAATTATGAATATTTATGTGCATATGAAGCAGATGATGAGTTTTATAGATAAGATTGTGGGAATTGAAATTACTATTTAGACATGTTAGGGGCTTATATTGATTATTTTAAGCTACTGAATATACCCAGCTGCGATAAACTTTATTTTTGACGTCTAACAGCTACCTTTGTGGAGTTATCAGAACACCTCAACTTTTTTTTTGACATAAAGTCGGTAAAATTGCAACATAACGATGTTCAAGCAATTACTTTATGCCTCATTCAATTGATCCTTTTGAAGCCCAAACAAAGGAATTTAGGCGACTCGAACTTCCATAACAGTATGCTTCTTGAATATTACTTAATGCCAAAAATGTGTATTTTGTAATTTTTAATAATCAAGCAAGAATTGACATTACTCTAGCCGCATACTGCTACTTCCAAACCTTCAGACTTACTTTCATAATGGCAAACGTAGCAAGTCAACAACCTTTATTTGTCTAATGAAAAATTCTAAAGGAACCACTTCCAAAATTAAAACAAAATTGCAAAGAGTTTTTCGAACTGATAACAAATTCGTCTCGTGCGGAACAGCTTCACAAATATGTGTCATATGGGGTCAAAAAGAGAATACTTTGAAAAAGGCAAACTTTAAAAAATTACAAAAAAGGAGTAACACATGAAGAGATTAAGCACAATTAGCACAGGTGTCAAAAATGTCATTTAAAGCTGATAGTTTATCAATCTAGGCGCAAAACAGTTTAATTTAAGAATCATTCACAAGACTATGCTTATTGTGATAAGTAGCTGCTTTCATAACATGAACTTTTTGGTAATATTCATTAAAGTCGATTATTTAGTCTTGACCTGAGAAGACTTTGCATCAAGAACATAAAATTCTGAATTTTTAAAATTTTCAACACCTTAAAAGTTCATTTCCTGTCTACAATGAAACTTGCACAATTATTTTTATTCAAAAAATTCTTCCACTTCCTTATCATTTCACTTAGGAGGTCAATCAAAACTTAAGTCACACAAATTCTCACTTTTGTATCGTCACTTCCTCAAAAAATTCTAAATTCGTGCAAATTCAATTGTCACAAAAACATAACTTTTTGAAATATTACATATCACAACTTTGATTAATGGATGACAAAACTTACAAATAAAAATCCTAAAATTTAAAATTAATCAGCACAGATTCGTCCGAACTCAATCAACTCCCAAAGGGAAATGGAATCAAAAATCTCCCAAGACTCTCAATATATAGAAATTAAAAGATTACGAAATTCTCTAACTTAATGAAGTTCTCAATTTTTGATAGATAATGCTCGAGATTTATTTTATTTTTTGTGTGGCTTTAAAAATTGATGAGAATTAAGAAAATTTACGAAGCTTTTTTGTCTGATTTTCAGTTCAGAATTTCCTAATTATTTATGCTTAATACCCGTATCTGATCAACTGAGTTAATTTAAAACTTACCTAAAATAATATTGACACTAATCTAAACCAATTAAAGTATCGCTTAAATAATTATTTTATTCTTATGCTGGAAATCGAAATCTTTTGATGGGATCATAGTAGGCTATTTTTAAAAAATATCGATTTAATATCAAAATTAGCATTTCTTATCATTTATAATACCTTGATTTGTTTTAAAATGCAATTTAAAGCATTTTTGGTTTTGATCATAGCAGGCTATTTTCAAAAAAAAAATATCGATTTTATATCTTCTCTAGCATTTATTATCATTTATAATACCTAGATTTGTTTTAAAATGCAATTTAAAGCATTTTTGGTTTTGATCATAGTAGGCTATTTTCAAAAAAAAATATCGATTTTATGTCTTCTCTAGCATTCTTTATCATTTTTAATACCTTGATTTGTTTTAAAATGCAATTTAAAGCATTTTTGGTTTTGATCATAGCAGGCTATTTTCAAAAAAAAAATATCGATTTTATATCTTCTCTAGCATTTATTATCATTTTTAATACCTAGATTTGTTTTAAAATGCAATTTAAAGCATTTTTGGTTTTGATCATAGCAGGCTATTTTCAAAAAAATATCGATTTTATGTCTTCTCTAGCATTCTCTATCATTTATAATACCTAGATTTGTTTTAAAATGCAATTTAAAGCATTTTTGGTTTTGATCATAGCAGGCTATTTTCAAAAAAAAAATATCGATTTTATATCTTCTCTAGCATTCTTTATCATTTTTAATACCTAGATTTGTTTTAAAATGCAATTTAAAGCATTTTTGGTTTTGATCATAGCAGGCTATTTTCAAAAAAAAATATCGATTTTATGTCTTCTCTCCCTAGCGAGACTAACTAGCAAATTGCTAGTCTTTCTATTTTACTACTTGCAATTTACTAGTAATTATTAAAACAACTTACTGTTAGAAAATTACACTTGCTATTTACTAGCAAATTACTAGCAAATTACCATGTAAAATGTTTGATCAAATCTTCTTAAGTTCGAATCCTACGAAAAATCATCAAAAAAAGAATTTTTTGCGTCATAAAGAATTTTGTTCTAAATTTTGCATTTGCCATATACTTCACAAGAGCGCGCAGAAATCACCTTTATAAGGTCGATCCAAATTTGTATGTGACATTCAATTAATTATTTATCTTCCTCAGGTTTGCGTGCGAGTCATGGGCGTTCATCAGTGTTCGATTTAATTAAATTAAGTCTTTTGCTTTTTATCATAGTGTTAGTGTACTTTAATTAACATCAACTAAGTACACACTAATACGTTTACAATAATTTACACAAATAAAAAAAATCAAAAGAACACGTGGAAATCAACGGTTATATTCATTTATTTTTTTTCCAAATTTGCTAGTAAATTACTAGTTAAATTGCAAGCGAATTGACTAGTCAAATAGCAAGTGAAAATGCGGGTCTTTGGCGATGATTTGAACTTGGATTTTGACTAGTAAATAGCAAGTAGCAAATGGAAAGTTATCTAGTGAATTACTAGGAAATTACTAGTAAATTTCTGCTAGGGTCTAGCATTCTTAATCATTTTTAATACCTAGATTTGTTTTAAAATGCAATTTAAAGCATTTTTGGTTTTGATCATAGTAGGCTATTTTCAAAAAAATGTCGATTTTATGTCGATATTAGCATTTATTATCATTTATAATACCTAGATTTGTTTTAAACTGCAATTTAAAGCATTTTTGGTTTTGATCATAGCAGGCTATTTTCAAAAAAAAAATATGGATTTTATATCTATACTAGCATTCTTTATCATTTATAATACCTAGATTTGTTTTAAAATGCAATTTAAAGCATTTTTGGTTTTGATCATAGTAGGCTATTTTCAAAAAAAAATATCGATTTTATGTCTTCTCTAGCATTCTTTATCATTTTTAATACCTTGATTTGTTTTAAAATGCAATTTAAAGCATTTTTGGTTTTGATCATAGCAGGCTATTTTCAAAAAAAAAATATCGATTTTATATCTTCTCTAGCATTCTTTATCATTTTTAATACCTAGATTTGTTTTAAAATGCAATTTAAAGCATTTTTGGTTTTGATCATAGCAGGCTATTTTCAAAAAAATATCGATTTTATGTCTTCTCTAGCATTCTTTATCATTTATAATACCTAGATTTGTTTTAAAATGCAATTTAAAGCATTTTTGGTTTTGATCATAGTAGGCTATTTTCAAAAAAATATCGATTTTATGTCAATATTAGCATTTCTTATCATTTATAATACCTAGATATGTTTTAAACTGCAATTTAAA